GTGTGTGTGTATGTTTATTTGTTCCAGTGAGTGAGTGAGTAAGTGAGAGAGAGAGAGAAAGAAAGAAAGAAAGAAAGAAAGAAAGAGAGAGAGAGAGAAAGAGAGAGAGGGGGAGAGGAAAGGAACGTAAAAGAGAGAGAGAATGAATAAGAGAGAAAGAGAGTGAAAGAGAGAGAAAGAAAGAAAGAAAGACAGAGACATAGTATGGATAGAGGGGGTGGCGCATGGACCTTCCAATTGCATTGCCTCCCCCTTGGGATGGCGGCCTAATGAGGGTGGAGTTGAACAGAAAAGAATTACCTTCCACCCATACCACCCACTCCACACCCATCCTTTCACAACACCTGGTGTGGAGACTACAGGTTAACGCCCTGGGGTCATTTTGTACCCCTGGGGTTGTACATGTATTCTTCACATTTTACAATACTTCTAGTGCGAAGATCTCTTTGAAACTTTCAGTATTTCTTTGTTAAAAAATCATCAATTTTGACAGACTGCTGTGCAAAGCGTACGGATCGGCTTAATGAGTAAATTTCATTTTTGGAAAGTGGTGGTGGCACCGAGTTCCCCTCGTCGCATGAATACGACTGTAAAACACGACGTATGGATAGGGTTAATCTAAGGTCCTTGAGCCCAACCCCAAAAAAACCCACCCCTCCCCCAACCGTCCATCCTACCTGCACACCCACCGCCACCCACACCCACCAACCCAACCCTCCAAAAAAAAACCCCATTAAACACAGACCCACCATAAAAAAACAAACGAACTCCAAGTCTTGGGGAATGCTTCCTGTTTTCCCTCAACGCCCATTTTGTTGACCTCCTTTTATCGTCGACGCCCACAACGATTAACCCCATCAGCCCGCTCTAATACAGCCCACGGCCGTAACGCTGTATTCGATAGCATTCTCGGCTGTAAAGACGTTAATGTATCCCCCCCCCCCCTCCCCCTACGCTCTCTGCCCTAGTTTCTGGTCTGCTGGTCTGGTTTAACCATATCCGTACGCCTGGGGTCATTTTGTACTCCTGGGGTTGTATTCTTCACATTTTAGAATACTTCTAGTACGGAGATCTCTTTGAAACTTTAGTATTTCTCAAAAAAAATAATTTTGACAGACTGCTATGCAAAGCGTACGGATCGGATTAACGAGTAAATATTTTCCTCTTTGGAAAGTGGAGACACAGAGTTCCCCACGTCTCACGGATACGGTCGTAAAACACAACGTATTACGGATAGGGTTAAAGAGGAATACGAAGGGGAATTCCCTTTAGAATTTAAGAATGAGGACGAGTGTGTTTTGTTATACAGGGTGCCCATTGCGGATGGGGTTCGGTCGGGTCGGGTCGGGTCGGGTCGGGTCGGGTCATCTCATCGGCTGAAAATAAACGCGCTTATTTTTTAGGCGACGAGTCGGGCGATCGGTTTGTGCCACGATAGTTGCTTTGCGCCCTCAATCTGGCTAGCACCAAACCGAACCGACCAGACCCGACCCGATCGTGCTAATGAATGGGCACCCAATATTGCCGTTCTTTAGTCCATTTCTCGTTCTATTTTCTTGTTGTTTTGTTTTGGTGGTGCGTTTTTTTTCTTCTATTTTTCAGTCTTTTCCTTAATCCATTCGATCCTAAATTCATTATTGTTTTGTTGCTGTTTTTCCCCCATGTCATCGCTTAGTTCTTCTTCTTCTTCTTCTTCTTCTTCTTCTTCTTCTTCTTCTTCTTCTTCTT